TATATTAAATATAATTACACTCAGAAAGATTATGAAATATTTCTCTATACACAACATTTTTTGTATATCCTATATATTTGTTATCATTTTCAATAATAAGAATTTTATTTTTTTTATTAACATTATTCTAGACAATACAATGTATAACTGACCATGACTAAATAGAGATTTTGTCAAATATAATCCAACATAATTTAATGATTATCCTTGACTTTTGTTTATTGTCATTGCATAACCTACTTTTATTGAAAATATTTTTTTTCTTAAAAGAAAAAGTCACTTATAGTTACTTGCCATCAAAACTAAACGCAAAATAAGTATTTTGGCATCAATGTTGTTTCTTGTAATTATTTTTGCTTTAATTATCCACTCTCCTAAACGCATGATTAGAGGTCTTGTTCTATTGTACATTCCTAATACGAGATTGATATTCTTAGGTAGCATAATTGACATTTTTTCTTTGAGTTGCAAGCAATGGAAGAATCCATTAAATTTAAAGTATTCCTGAATTATACGAGATATATAAGCTTTTGTGATTTTATCAGTTATTTTGTCAATTTCATCAAAGCTTCTATAATATTTTGTTGATGTTTATAATATAAATATCATTAACAATATCATTTAAAGTAGTAAGCACAACTCTCTCTTGAAAATTATACTATAGATTATACTAAATTAACACAATTAATAAATGTATATTATACTACATTTAAAGGAATAAACTATAGATTATACTAAATTAATTAATAAAATAATTTAAATATGTAAACATATTTTTTTATTAGAAATTTAACTTAACAATATGTAATATAAACTAATAATTTTATAAATGTAGTTTTTTTTAATTCAAATTACATTTTATTATTTGAAGTCTATATTAAAATATAGATTATATTAAGCTTGTTTTTCTTGTTTTTAAAATATATAAACTTGTTTTTATTAGAAATTTAGTTTAACAATATATAATATAAACTAATAATTTTATAAGTGTAGTTTTTATAATTCAAAAATATATTTTAGTGTTTGAAGTACATATTAGAATATAAATTATATTAAACTAATTAATAAAATAATTTAAATTAATAGCACTTAAAATTAAATATAACTTAAAGTAAAGATATAGTTTTGTTTTCAATTAAAATTTAACTCAAGAAATTTATAAATATTTCTTTTTCTTAATTAATTATTATTTTTTTATTAACTCACACAAATTTTGTTATTGTATTTTTAACATAATATAACAATTAATTTTAATAAATTTTTCTTGAATACAATTCAAAGATAATAAGTATGAATTAGATATAATTTTAATTTGTAAATTGTAAAAAATATTATAATTAATTTTAATAAACGATAATTTAAGATAATTTATAGTATGAATATTTATGTTACTATTTGTAATCTAATATAACCATAAATTTTAATAAGAATTCTTTAAATACAATTCAAAGATAACAAATATAAATAAAATATAATTTTAATCTATAAATTACGTTTTAAATTTTAATACATCAAATATTAAGTAGTAGGAGTCACATATATAAAAATGACTTTTATACATTTTGAAATTTAATGCATAGAATAATAAGTAATTATAAGTAATTTTACATATAAAAATATAGATAGATAGATGATTACATTAAAAATATAATATTCTATAAAACTTTAACACTAAAGACATGTTACATGTAATAGATAACTTAACTAAATTAACGGTAGAAAAATATGAGCATGTAAACACGTTTTTTTAAAATATTATAAATATACTACATCAATATTTAACTTGTAAGATATTCATTTCTTTTCACGTACTTCTAATTTGAAGCGATTACCTAAAATACTAGAAAGTTAACGTAGAACTGAAGGCTATGTATAACATACAGTACTTCTATCATTAAGTTTCTAATCTCTAGGATCATATTTAAAACTTTAAAAATGTACTTCCATGGCCAGTTATCGTGTTATACATTTATAATTAAAATGTAACTTATTACTTAAAGGATTGATTTTAAAGATTAATGTGAAAATAATTTTTTTAAATCTTTAAATATAAATATAAATTTATTATATTTTGGAAGGTCATTACATACCCCTCAACGAGGAATTGTAGAATTTACCATCAAAATAAAAACTTATATAAGCTTTAAGCTGTTCTACTCTATATACATATTTTATTATCAACTAACTGTATAATCATTATTTTATAAAATTTATTGTAATTTTTATTTGATTATATATGTGTGTATATATATATAATATTAGTTTTAAGTGTAAATTTAGGGGTTAATTATGGTAACTAAATTTCTATAACTTTTTTCTTCATTTTAATTAAAAATATAAAATGTTAGATAATTTAAATTCATGTGTATATTTTACTTTTTATAATAAATAATGAAGAATTATTTATTTAACAACAAAAATTTCAATTAAAAACTTATAATTATGTTCTAACGTTTATTTATGCGTATTAAGATATGGTTGAAATTTTTTATGAGTTACATAAGAATATTTATATTATATTGAATGAAAATTATATATATATATATATATATAATTATATTAATAATAAATTATTAACATAAATAATAACGCAATCATATTTATTTTCTGAATTTTTATTTTTATAATGTATTTGTAAATATTATCAGAGTTTAATTTTGATATACTATTATATAATTTTTAAGTTAAATTATAAATTTAATTTTTATATGACACTTTTTTAATTTAGTCTTCACACATAAAAAAGTTACAATTTAGTTTTATATAAATAAATATTTTTAAAGTTCTCATTATATTTTAATACACGTTAATGATATTCATAGAAGAACAAAAACGTAAATAATTATTTATTTATTTGTATTCATCCTTTAACTTTTAAAAATATTTAGTATAATTTTTTAACTTTCCAATATAATTCATTAAGATTATTTATACATTTTTTTTTCAAATTATTATTTTTTCATCCTTAACTTTTAAAAAAATCAAATGAATACTCTAACTTTCAATGATTCAATTTTGTTTATAAATTTCACTATCAACGTATTTTATAAATTTAATTTTTAAATTTTTACTTTTTTTTAATTTTTTATATTGATTATACATTTTTTACTCGTATAAAATACAGATATACATTTTAGTTAAAGGGTGTGTTTGGCTAAACTAAGGAATACGCTAACAAAAAGCTAAATTGTAATTGATAATTGTAAAATGACATATAAGAGTATTATTAATTTTTAGTTCAAATTTTAAAATTAATAGTTAATATTTTTAAAAATTATAAATATTTTACTTTATTATTTTTTTAAAATATTTATATTAAATAAAATGATACAATATAAATTAATTTATATATTTTTAATATTTTATATTGTCAAAAGGTAAAATTTAATGATTTAATTATATTTTAATAAAATTTACTGATAAAATAAATGTGAAAGAAGTAAACATATTAAGGTTTTAAAAATAAAAGGAATAAAATAAAAAGTTATTTAAAATAATAAAGACAAAAAAAATAAAATTGCTTTCGACTAGTAACGTTAAATAGTATTTTTAGATATGTAAATTAGACTAGCACTAAAGATAATATTTGTAATTATATATTTAAACTATCTTATCAACAATAATTATTTTTATTAAATAAGTTTTTAGTTAGCAAAATAAGTTTGAAACTAATCAAAATACTCTATAAAACCGTGAAAAATAAATATTTATATAATACGAGATAAAAAAAATTATCATAAATTTATTTAATTTTTAAATCATGATATAAATATTAAATCGATCATAAATTTTAAAAATTTATTAATTTTATTTGAAATTATTTTCTAAAAATTTTATAGTTTTTCTTATCATAAATATAAATTATACAGCTCTAATTTTTTTTTTATAAATATCTTAGTAAAATTAATTTTTATATTTTTATTTTGTTTTTTTTTCAAACTTATTTTTATTGTAATTATAGATTTATGATTTTTCAAAATTAAACTGATGTAAAATTAATGATTTTTTAAATAGATTAATTTTTAAATAATAAAAAAAAAATACTTCAATTAAATCTTAATAATATAATGCCATCACTTAAAATATCCTAACAATTAGGAGCAGAAAAGAATTAAACTAATTTTTTTAAAAAAATTACAAAGCATAAAAACCTAAAAAATATTTTTAAATTTTTATATAAGTTTGTGCTTCAAACTCTTTTTTCTAGGAGTTTTATAAAATAGTTATATATTTTATGAAAAAATATACTTTTTCAAAATTTAAAACTTAAAAGACAAAAAAAAAAAAAAAACTTGAAAGACACAAAATTTAAAACTTGAAAGGCTATTCGTATTAATATAAATCACATTGGTCTTGATTGGCACGACTATATTCATGTACATATGTCAATTTAGGATGATGCGAGTTATATGTAAATTACAAAATTGTCACACTCTTGTACAAATTATATATTAATAAAAAATATATTTGAGATTTTATTATAATAAAATATATTTAAACTTTCTTATTTATTTATTTTAAAATATAAAAATTCCATAACTTATATCATAGATTTAATAATAAAATAAAGCAAAATAACATAGACTATAATAATTTATAAATTTATTTTAAATATACAAACGATATAAATTACCTTATTTTTTAATAATAAAATTTGATATTAATAATATTATTTATTTTTATAGTAAATAATATAAAAATTACATTTATAAAATATTTTAACTAATTAATAGTGCAATTTTGTACATTAATAAGATTAAAATATAATTTTATACTAAAATTATTAAAATAAATTAATATGAAACACATGAATCAAAGATACCGGGGTATAAAAAAATAATTAAAAATTATAAAAATCATAAATTGTTTTTATAATAAGAGTTTATTAAGGTCGTTGCTGAGCTCACAAGTCTTTCGATATTTATTTATTTATATTTTTAAAATAAAAAAGTTAACTTACTTTTTAGTATTAAAATACATTTTTCTTTTCCAACAATAGCAGGTGATTAGGAGAGATAAAGGTTGCTGTGCTGGATAGAGACGATGACTCAAACACAAACCAGACCTTATCTGTTTTATATTATTTTTTAACTCCAATTCTCGAAACCAAGTTTGGAAGCGTTAATGTGATGAATGTTTGGATTTGTTCCTTTTCGTTCACTGATCCTAATTGGAAAAACCATTAAGAGAACAGTTCTACCAACGGTTGAGTTAGGCATTCATCGCTCCTCACTTCTTCCGCAAATCTTACAACAAAGTGAGACAATTTTCAATTTGAGATTTTACCCCTTCTTTTAGAACCGTAGAATGTCCAAATAAGTCTCCTCTCAATCTATTTATTTATTTATTTATTTTTATTTTATTTGTTTTCATCTTTCCTTACATGCAAAACTCTTGAACTTGTTGTTGTCTCAACTTAAAAGCCACAAATCTGGGACACAGCCAAGGTTCAGAAGTTGAAGAGTTGAAGAGAAAAAGGAAGAGCCTGATAAGTTCAAGTTCATATCCATTTTGGGTATCTCACATCATCGATAGACATGTCAAAGTGTGTGAGCAAGTTTGGAAGATGGGTCTCTTTGGTTTCACAGAGGGGATTTTCCACCACCTCAGTTGAAAAGGGTGCTTCCGAGAAAGGTCTGAAACAGGTGAACCTCTGTTCTGCAATTAATCAGGCTCTTCACATTGCCTTGGACAATGATCCACGGTGGGTCTCATTATTTATTTATGTTGCTTTATCCTATACTTGTAGACACAAACACAACAAAACTTTAAATCTTATTACCCTTCAATTTACTTGTTTTATCATTAACGACGATTTATCACTGTTCCTAACCGTATTGAGTTGTTGACTCATCATTTGGTTTTCCCCTTGTCTTCTGGAGGTTTTTTTTTTTTATAAATTTCAAGTTACTGTAACTAATAAATCATTTAGTTTTTGCAATTTTCTTTCTTTTGGTGTGTATCACTTTCATCGTGCCCCTTTAAGTTTGAAAAGTGACAGGGAGTTCCAACCGTGGAATCTCATACAAAAATAGAAAAGAAGTTAGAGTGGGAGAGTGGGGGAAAAAGAAGTCTCGAATTGTAGTATCTAACATCATTTCAGCATACATTCAATTCCTTCAGTTTTCTTTTTTTTCTTTTAGTTCGAAGCATGATTTTTAGATTAGGGGCTTCGATTGAGGTAGTGGTTATGTAGGTCCTATACTTCTATGTAGAGAAACAGCAAATATTTATTTCTGTAAGTACTTCATTAGCTCTTCTTAATGCTCCCTTAATGAAGTTGTGAATAGTCTGATCTAAATTGATTTTTTATCACGACAGTTGCTCTTGGAAGCTCTGAATTTCAGCAGCTGAATGGACAAACTCTATTAAAGAGTATATATACATATATATATATATATATATATTTATGTATGTATGTATGTATGTATATATATATATACATGCATACATATGTATGTATGCATGTATATATATATATCAATCTCAATGGAGCTGTAGCAACTTTAATCTTTTTTTAATTCTGTTTCTTTTAAATTTTTAATATCAATTTGATTGACAAACTGAAATTGATATGAAATTTCTGTGTTACATGTTCAACTTTAACTTCTATCAATTACTCTATTATAAGTTGTTTTTGTATGACATAAATATCCTATGGACATCTCCTTATCTTCTCTTGCACTTCATCCTAGTGCTTATGTTTTTGGAGAGGATGTAAGCTTTGGTGGTGTCTTCCGTTGCACAACGGGATTAGCAGACCGATTTGGCAAAAGGAGGGTTTTCAATACTCCTCTCTGTGAGCAGGTATTTATTTATGTATTTCACATTGCCTTTGAGCTTCCACTTTTATTTCTCTCTTCCCATTCTCCCATGCAAAATAGATTTAGTTAAGAAGCACAATGAAATCATGAATCTAAAATCTTACGCTGAAATGGTATTCACAGGGTATTGTCGGCTTTGGCATTGGTCTAGCAGCCATGGTGAGTCAGAGGTTAAAATAATTCACTACTAGTTTTACCATCAAACCTTACTACAATCTGGTATAATAATTTCATTTCATAAATCTGAGTTTAACCCATTTATATATTTTACATGGCAGGGAAATCGAGCAATAGCAGAAATCCAGTTTGCAGATTACATATTTCCTGCTTTTGACCAGGCATGCTTTCTTCCCCATGGCTTGGTTTAGTCAGAGCTTCTTTTAATCAGTAATTGACCAATTTTGGTTTCCAGATTGTCAATGAAGCTGCTAAATTCAGATACCGGAGTGGGAATGAATTTAATTGTGGTGGTAAATTTCTTTCATTGCTTTAGTGTTGAAGTTTGGCTTTTCTCTACTTTCACTTGTTGGTTTAAAATTTTTTATGCATTCCTATTATAGGTTTAACAGTTAGAGCCCCTTATGGAGCTGTGGGCCATGGTGGGCATTACCACTCTCAATCCCCTGAGGCTTTCTTCTGCCATGTTCCTGGTATTAAAGTATGGCAGCCCTTACATATAGACTTCAGTCTGTTAATTAGAACCTTATTTTTCTGTACTTTTTATTGTGCCTGTTTTTCAAATAGTATAGGCCACCTACAATGTGCTGTTTAACAGTTCAATGACTATAAAATGTTTGAATTCTAAGCCTAATGAATTATGGCAAGAGTTGAAATCCATGTGTTTAATAAAATTCCAATTAAGAAGATTATCATGGTGGGGGAGTAATAGCAGTAAGTCATTGCAAAAGCATACTAGACTAAGTGCTTAAATTTCTGTAGCATCTGAAAAGATGGCAATTATTATTGTATAAATATATGAAAGTGGACTGTCATTTTGTAAGTAAAAAAGATGCTTTAATATTGCATTTTAACTAGCTGCATCAATACGAATAACTAATTAGGTGAGATTCTCACCAAGTCCACTAGGGGTCCTCGTATTGGGTTCATTTTAACAATCGGGGTACATATAAATTGTATCCTCCAACTTATGGGGAAACTTTAATGTCTATGTTATTTATATTAGGTTTTCTAGAATTTTGTATGTTGTAGTTGAGTAGTATACTTAATCCAGTAAAGCTCAATAGGTCCTGTTATCTTTCTTATTGAATAACAAACATTTTTTTATGTCAATCCTTTCCCTTTCATACCCATTGATTTAAATAATCCTTTCTGAAATATGTGGCTGTCTTTAGATTACATAAGAATTATAGCATTATAGCATTATAGCATATTACCCATTTCTCATAGAGGAACCAAATTTCTTTAACATTCTGTCCTTTTTACATAAGAGAAATGTTAGTAAAACACTCTTCTAAACGCATTCCTTAACACACTTCATGTGATTGATCAGCTTTTAAAAATGTCAAAGCACATCTTATAAATTGATAATTTTTTAAAATTGATCACATTTTCCCCCAATGCCTCATGAGAGTTTCTTATATAGGTGGTCATCCCCCGAAGTCCACAACAAGCAAAAGGGTTATTGCTATCTTGTATACGAGATCCAAATCCAGTAGTATTTTTTGAACCAAAGGTTGTGTTCTATCAGAGGAACCTGAATGAATTGTGAGTACAGATTTATAGTCCGTGGGTTTTTCAATTTTAATCATGGGATTCTTGGTTTCAGTTGCTTTATCGTTTGGCTGTGGAAGAAGTGCCAGAGGATGATTACATGTTGCCTTTATCTGAGGCAGAGGTACTCCATAAGTCATGCTAAATGAAAGAAGGAAAAGAAGTTGTGCATAAAACTATGGATACATTATTCTTTGTAATTTACTCGGATAAATTGAAATGCATTCAGGTAATTCGGCAAGGAAGTGATATTACGCTTGTTGGATGGGGAGCTCAATTATCTATCATGGAACAAGCTTGTCTTGATGCAGAAAAGGTAAGTGGATGTTGCTTTGCAACCGAATGTGCTTAAAACATGTATTCTGCAAATAATATCTGTCTTTACTTTTGGTTTTGGTGAGTGAGAGCAATAAGTCCATAATGAAAAATGTATATTATAGGAAAAGGAAGAGTGGGTCAGTGCATGTTAAGGCCCAACCTAGAGAAACAATCAGTTGACTCATAATTAGGAGGCATTTGCAAGGGATGGTTGTTATAAAGGTCAAAAGTTAGGAGAATTGCGGTGTCTTTTGTAAGTGAAAAAGTTTGTCTACGAGAGTTGCCAGGATCTCTCTAATATTTCTGGCATTATATGATAATAGTTGGCACCTACATTGGGTACAGGACCAGGTTCATTAGTAATACAATTCAATCTTTTTTCTCTTTCCTTGCTCTACCAGCGCAAGATTCTTGAAAGAAAACTGGTTCTTGGTTAGAAAATACTTGCTGTGCAATTAGTTGAAGCAAGAAGATTGTTTTGAACCAGGAGTTAGAGACACAATTTGATGAAATGAAACAAATGAGCAACATGAAAGAGATGATCCAAGTCTTAGGAAAGCTCAATCTAAACTTCTAATGATGGCAATGGAGGGAAAGGCTTAACCCAACATTCAAACTGGATAGGCTCTAATACCATATTAAGAAACTTGAGCCTAACTCACTCTTAAAATCTAGCTTATAAGAGGACTATCCAAGCCCTTATAAGGAGTATTATGGCTCTATTCCTAATCAATATGGGACATCTTAACATGGATAAATTGAATTAGTGACAAATTCCTTATGATATGGGTTGTAGGTTTGATGATGATAATTTTGATGTTTCTTTATTGGAAAGAGCTCAATTAAAATCAGTAGTATGAGAGAAGTTGTGGCAATTGTGATGGCTGTCCAAAAATGGCGGCACTATCTTATGGGGTGAGACATTTTATCATACTCACTGACCAAAGGAGTTTGAAGTTTCTAACTAAATGATCAACGTGTAATAAGTGAGGAGCAATTTAAGTGGAGATCCAAGCTACTTGGCTTTGATTTTGAAATACAGTATAAACCTAGAAGTCATAACAAAGTGGCTGATGCTTTATGTAGGCAAATGACATATGTTGCCATTTCTAAAGTTTTGTGTGACAAATGGGATAGCTTGGAGACAGAAACACACAAAGATATCAAGTTGCAGAAGATATTTCACGGATATACACCAAAGGAAAGCAGGAAAATAATTAATTATGTTCCATCTTTCATGGTCGTTCCTCTCTTCCAGAGGAAATTGTGACTTGAGTAATGTGGCTTGAATTGGAATCATCATCTTATCAAATTTTCCACCCTACCAAATATATGTATCATGATTTCCATTATATGAACCCAGAATGCAGTTGTCAATGCCATGCACCAAACTAGTTATGATACTGAGTTTTCTGTTAGAGACTAATATTTTGTATTATACTTGTGCTTGACTTAATTCATTAGTATAACTACATATATTGTGAGTCTAACTAAAACTAGTAAGAGCATTTAATAACTGGTTCTCCTGTCTTATTTTCTAATGACTTTGTAAGTATTCTTTTAACTTGGTGGCTGTTCATAATTTATTCGATTACTTCAGAACAAAATCATAATACTTCTGTAAAAGGAAATTTATGTTAATTCCCATTTCTATGATAATATATTACCTGTTTGACAACTCAATTTGTATCTAGAAATCTAGATATTCATCTCAATTGAAATTGTGATATTATGAAATTCTGCAGGAGGGAATTTCTTGTGAATTAATAGATCTGAAGACACTAATTCCTTGGGACAAGGAAACACTAGAGGCCTCAGTTAATAAGACCGGAAAACTGCTTGTGAGTATAATATATTTTATAGAATAAAACTATAACCCGGTTTGGTATTACCTTACAATATGCATTGAATGAACTTTGTAGATTAGTCATGAAGCTCCTGTAACTGGAGGTTTTGGTGCTGAAATCTCAGCTTCCATTGTTGAGCGCTGCTTCTCAAGGGTATGCTCCAACCTTTAGTTCATAACTTCATGTACCAATTCTTTAAGCCAGTGTGGCATTGATTCCAATAGGCTTTTTTTTGAGAGACTTTTATTGTTATTCCCACCACAGATGTTTAAACAGACAAATACACGAGAATTTTGTTTTTTGGGAGGTGGGTGGTGGAGGGGGTTTGAAAGTTGGAGTCACTAATTTGAATGATTCAGTATATCTATATAAAACTTGGGTTACAGGAGCATACAACAAATGTAAGCCCAGACCATAGGAATATTCTAATCTACAGATTTTCCTCTTTCTATTCTCAACAACAAAAGGGTAATGTTCATCATTAGCCTTCTCAGCAAGCTTTCAAGTAAAAGTCACAAAATTTACCACAGCTAAACTGGAAAAGTAACAGAAAAAACTTTACCAGAGTCGAGAAATATAGTCACTAAAGGCTTCCTGTGACAAGAAACCCCTTAACAAAAAGAAAACCCTGGAGCATCAAAGCCTCCAGAATGAACAATTGGACCCCAAAACACCGAAACACCTAGAGGGATAAAAGGTTTATTTATTGTTAGAGTAAAAACTGCTCGTACTTCTGATTCAATGAGAACTTCAATGAAATGGTTATATATATGCCTTTAATCAATTTCAACCTGGACATTTCTCAATCCTGTCTTTCTATTTTGTGTTACAGTTAGAGGCTCCTGTAGCAAGAATTTGCGGTCTGGACACTCCTTTTCCTTTGGTTTTTGAACCTTTCTACATGCCAACCAAAAATAAGGTAACCTGTTTGTTTTCCTGATTTATTATTAATTTATTTATTTGTATGCCTCGTGGCGAAGAGCTGTCTTGACTGATACAAGCTTCTGTCACTCATCTAATGCAGATATTGGATGCAATTAAATCAACTGTGAATTACTAATCATCTTAATTCCCATTTTTTGGCCACTTATATGATCTTGATGCCATCATCGTAACAATCATGTTCATGGCTAGTGAAGTGTTAGTGTATTGAGACCTTGGAGTTAGGAGTTTCTCCAAATGTGTAAAATAGCACATGTAATACTTTTAACTTTCGTCTACAGTGCCCTTTTTGCTGAGATACGCAAAATATTTGAAGGGATTGATCTCCGCTAGTAAATCTCCTATAATAAATAACCCTTTCCCTTAATCCGTCAATTTGATGACTCAAACAAAACAGTAATGGAGGGGAGGGGTAGACAAATTGTAGAATTCGACAATAACATTTGGTATATCTTATCTCATTTTAAAATGTTCACATGATCAAACTTACATCAAATCTCAGATAATATAACTAGTCACAATAAGTGTTCACTGATATAGCTGGATACATATTTGAAAAACGTAAGATGTTCATAATTTGGATGTGATTAGTACTCTGCATAAGTCTGCGTAGGTGATCTTTTGGCCGAGTAAAATATCACAGTAGTGTTAAATATACACTTGCTAGTCAACTTAGTCACTAAAATATAAAAAAATATTATTCTTTATTTTTGTAATTTCAATGACTACAATATCCGTTGTTTAGTAACATCAGGAATTAAATTAAAATAAATATTATTTAATATTTCGACAATTAAATTGATCTAAACTACTGAATTCTATATAATTATGTGAATACTACTAATTACATGGAGTTTGATACTAGTGTTAAAATGTTTCACATTTATTAAGAATAGAGACAGAATATTATTTATAAGAACTTGGGTAATCCTACTAGCAGATAACTTTTAGGAGGGAGTTAAAGTGGACCAAAGAGAAGTTCCTAGAAGCATAGGAGCATAACCAACCAACCTACACCAAAAACCCAGCCAAATAAGGTAAGGGTGGAAATTATTACACATAACCTATAGGTATGCATGCTAAATGAATTAGTTTGAGAATATATAGAGTCTTTTATTCCTTTATTTCATTAAGAATTACTAAAATATGGATTGAAAATTTTGGATTGTGTTAAGTAATGATTTTAATTAATTTTTCAAAAGAAATAAGATGTACACAAATTGAATAGGGACAAACCCCTAAGCACATGCCTGTGATGCTTCAAAATTACTCAAAGTTGATAAGAGAAAAGAAAATTGGTTTGTCGTAATTTACTCTGTAACTGGAAAAAAAAATTATTGTTTAAACAAGACTTAAAAGGGAGGGGGAGATTTTTATTCTAGTTGATTTTATTTATTGTCATTATTTTTATATTTTTATTACCTATTTGAAACTGTCTATTTCATAAAAAATAGTTTTTAATAATTTTTCTTGCAAATTTTCAAATTTCTGTTGCTAATGCTGAATTCTCGTTTATAAATTTGTTACTAATAGAAATTTCATTATTTTTCCAAGATGAACCACTGCTCTAACTATAAAATCCAGAAAAGTATTATTTAATTAAAGCATCATTTATTTGAGTAATATAAAACTATTCCAAGAATTTTCAACAAAAAAAGTAACTAAAAAATATTATTTTAATGAAATTATTGTCATTTGAATGTTCAAAATGTACATTGATTGAAAATACTATAAACTATAAAAAGTGGTTGAATAATGTTAAGGACAAATTTAGAATAAATAGGATTGATATGACTATAAAATATAAAGTCTTTATTAAGCAACCAAACATAACTAACTTGTGTAGCTAATAATAAGTAAAATGCTAGACTATTTTAAAAGATATTAGAGCATATCAAAATTGGTAAGGGTGGGAAGTAATACACATAAGAAGTGACTACACATATTGATGATATTAATGTGCATAGTAAATATGGGATCTTAAGAGTATTGATGTACTTCGGATAATTAATTACTCAATTGAGAAAATTAAAAAAAAAAAAAAAAACACATAAGAATTGTTATGTTATTGTGATTGATTGATTAAGAGTAGTTTATGAAATAGTTTATGTTTTTTACTCTCTTATTTCTCGTGTGTGCGCATTTTTTGTTTTTTTTTGCATAAACAATTGATTAAAGCATAATGAATATCTGTTATTTTTACAAGGAATGTGCAGTAAACTTTGAGAGAAATAGATAACCCTTTGTTGCTCCCTTAGTTGTGGTTGACTTGCTTAAAGTGGAGATCCTATTTCCCGTGTAGTGTGTGTTGCAGTATTATAAATAGAGCTAGATTTTGGTTTGGATTTGGTGGTGATGACTAGTAGGGTTGCGGTTTGATGAACCCTTGTCTAGATTAATGTATAATTTTGTAAAACAGGCTTGCTTTTATTTTCTACTTAGGACTCTTCTTATTTTTCTCTTTCAATGTATTTATTAGTAGAATAAGGAAAGAGAAATTGATGTACATTTAATTTAACTTAGTACTCTTTAGAACATACTTATTGTAAAATATTTATACTATCTATGTGTGGTTTGGTTTAGGTTGTAAATAGTGTGATGGTTACTAGTTGCATGTTTTACAATGAGATGAAGACAATAGTGCACCATTGCCTGATGTCACCTTGTACAGACGACTATTGGACATTTATTGTATCTTACTATCACAAGATCGAAAATTACGTATGCAACTCAATAATTCAGTTCCTCTCTCAACCCACAATGATCCATTACGGTGCAGCTATGAGAGTGCTTAGATAGTTAAAGGTGCCCCTACTGCACTACAACTACTTGGATTTAGTGATGCAGTTCAGGAAGTATGTGTTGATACACACAAGACAATTTTTAGATAATGTTTCTTCCTTGCCTCTTGCTACTTGCAAACTCCAATAGCTCACTTAGTTACTCAATGATCTTGATATTACACCTTTGCAACAATTGGTGATCTAGTGTGACAATTAAAGCGCCCTATATATTGCTACTAATCCTATTTTTCATAAGAAAACCAAACACTCGGATATCGATTGTCATCTTATTCGAGAAAAATCACAAAATAATTTTATGAAGCTTCTTCTCATTTTCTCAAAGGACCAACTGCTGTTTTCTTCACTAAAGCCCTTCCTCCAAGCCTCTTCTTCAACTTTTTGCCCAAGATAGGGTCACTTGACATTTGCCGACTTCTACCTTGCAGGGCTTATCTTGTCAAATACTGCATCCACCAAAATACGCACATGAAACTAATAGCACAAGTCATAATTAAATATCATTACTTTCAATTATATTTCGATTAATGTACACTAGTTACTTTCACACTTGTATATAAGTCATTTATGAATGAATCAATTAAAATCATTCTTCAAAGTTTTCTTATTATGTTAGTACTATCTTTTGTTGCTTTTTTCTTATGGTATAAAGTCTATTCAGTTTGATTGTTGAAATGCCCATAAATATCCAGTCTGGTTAAGTTACCTGCAGTTGTTCAATCCTACAAACTTCATACCCTATATATCCAATCCTAGATGTGAGGAATGAGTGTTAAAATGTCCTATATTTGATAAAAATAAAATTATAATACTCCTTATAATGGTTTAAGAATCCTCCTATGAACTAGTTTGAGAGAGAATAAAACCTTAAGTTTCTTAATACCTAGGTTTGCCTAAATTCAACAATTGTCAATTTTTTTAAGACTTTTTTGTAAATATTGTAAGAATTTCATGGATCATCGTCAATTGAAAATAAATTTGAGCATAACCATTGTTAGCTCATAAGTGCACCCAGGAGTTTGCAAATCATACGTTTAAAAGGGGATCTGCATCTAAAAGTAAAGAATGCTGGTAATATAATATTCGGCCCTTCTATTTTTTATTTTTTTGGTTATTAAGTGAACTTTCATGTGATGTCTACAAAACAATCTAGCCCGAGACCGCATTTGAATTCGTCCAGTAAGAGAAAAAGTGCAAACAGAAAAAATGTTGAGTGAGTATTACGGAGTGTCATGATGCGAAGTCTTAAATCAGGCATTTAATAAAATTTGATCAAGCCAACAATCGAGCACTACTCGGTGAAATTAACTAAAGGAGTACACTAATCAGTTTCCCAGAACTTTACATCCAAAGACAGGAAGAGCTATTCCACTTCCATTCGCTTATCAAATTTACAGAGCAGACTGCTCAGATTTCACCATCCCAAAATTCCTCAAGAGATCTGTATACACCATAAGTTTCGTGAACGAACGTGCTACCCCTGATTAATCTTGCCTGCACCAACAACCAGTGTCATAAAACTTGACTATGCTTCTATGAAAGCAAAGAAGACCTATTACACTATTGTCATACTAATAAATTGACATGCATCAAGTCTTAACAAGCTTCTACTCAACGAATTCCAACTCTCCATTTCCAAAATATAGGAAGCAATACGGGTTTGCATGATGAATCAGAAATCAACTCTTGTATATATTTGATTATGTGGTAAAAGAATTTTCTTATTAGTTTGATAATTTAGTACTTCACACGTAGAGAATATTATAAATGTAATTAACAAATTCAGGTTTTAAAATAAAAGACTGGGTAACCATATACTTGCCTGTTGAATCTCAGAAAATTTAGCAATCAAGTCCTCAGGAATACACCAGTCAAAAACATCAAAATTTTCCTTTATCCTAGCTTCATTTGTACTCTTGGGAAGCACACTATGGCCCATTTGCAGTCCCCAGCGAAGAGCTACCTGTGCAGGAGTCTTGCCTAGTTTCTCCGCAATAATATTTAGAACTGGATGTTTAAGAACTTCACTTTTAAGCCAGGTTGTTCCAGGGGAACCCAAAGGTGAATATCCCTAAACAAATGCAATTAAAATATAACAATTGAAAATAAAATAAAATTTAGACACAAATAATGTTTGATCCGACAAACAGGTTGGCTTTATGAAAATAGTCACTATAATGTGTGGACACAAAATATAGATCACTCAAGAGTTGAATTGTGTGAACTTACAGAGAGGTGGACACCTTTGGATTTGCAGAAAGCCCGCAGCTTGTCCTGCTGCCAGGAAGGATGACACTCCACCTGGTTGACAGCAGGAGGAACACGAGCAATTTCCAGTAAATTCCCTAGCTTTTTGGAAGAGAAATTGCTTACACCTATAGCCCGAGCCTTGCCAGCATCATAGAGTGCTTCCATTGCCTTCCATGTCTCAGCTATGTTTGGCTGCACAAGATTTTCAGGCGTAAAGCCAACTGAGCCTTTCTTCATTGGAGCAGGCCAGTGGATCTGAAAAGATAGAATCATCAGTTTACAACTGATTATATGTCATAAAAAGATTAAATACTAATACACCGAACTTTGAAAAATTATACAATAAATCCTAAATGCATTGGAAGGAAAAAAGGGGAATAAAAATAAATAAAATAAAAACCTCAAAAAAGTGCAGCATATGCAGGAAGTGCTAATTTAGAATTCAGATTCTCTGGACTAAAGATAAATATGGTGGATGAGCTTGTGGGCACATGGTTTGACAAGTTTTTCCCTATTATACTGTAAGATTAATTTAGAAAAGAAAAGAGTTATGCCATAGCATTTTTCAAACCATTATGCATTCGGTTATTAATTAAGCAATGGCTATGATAATGATTTTCCTACAGTAGAAGTTTGCACTTTAGTTAGCTTTTTATTTCCAGGATCGGAATTTGATACCAAAAGGATGTTTCCAGGAAATCCATATTTCAAACTACATTTTCACTCCAAATGTAAGATGTTATTAGAGAAGAAAGCATTCATTACACTTTTGTATCTCCAATGTAATAAAAGTTTTCCTTTCCAATAAAAAATTCACTACTGCAAGTGTTTAAAAACAAAAGCATAAAATCATTGATTATGCACAAGTTAACACAAAACAGTTATGGAATATTTGTAGGAGATTGAGTGATATTACATACAAGATACAAATCTACATAATCAAGCTGCAAGTATCTCAACGTCCTGTCCAATGCCAGTGGTACATCTTCTGGAGCATGATCAGTATTCCTACAAATTATCTTAAAACTGAGTACTAGACAGTGCAGACTGTCAGATAAATGACATGAATGTACCAGCATTATTAATTTAGCTTAAAAATGGAAACCAAACTAATTAATCTATAATCTAAAAGCAAACCAGAGTTTAGAGGTAATCCATAAATCCTCACACTTCACAACACCCTCTTCAAACAGCTTCTTCAACACTACACCAATCTACAAATGAAAGAATGAAGTGTTTCCTTTAGATATGACATGACCAATACTACCTTCAATCATTTACCTTAAATAGTTATGCTGTTGAATCAAGACAACATGATACCATATGAACAATTACCTCCTTCTCGTTGCCATATATTTGAGCACAATCAATGTGGCGGTAACCAACCTGTATCAAATTGACCAATCAAGGATATATTGAATAAGAGATTTCAAATTGAGTATGTGTGAAAATTGATATTAATTTAGGTCATAGTTATCAATCTCAAATAGCCGTGTATAACAGCTGACCCCAAAAATGTTATCCTGGAATAGCAGATAGTGAAATGCTTCCTATATATATATAAAGTAAATTTAGGAAACAAACACTAAAATTCATGACATTTTCTAGTTAAGCAAAAGATACAAGTATATAGCAATAAAACTCAAGAAAATAAAAAAGTGTAAGCTTGTAACTCAATGCCTTAAAGTGACAAACATTTAAGACCAAATAAAACTAAAACTGAATAAGGAGAGAATTTAGACAAAATAATAAAAAGGAACAAAATAGCCAGAAACTGAAACCAATAGGCCACCAAAAAAGATAAGAAAAACAAAAGATGAGAGGACAGTTAGAAGAGAACAACTAGCAGAACAATAGCAAAACATAGGAGAAAACAAAGCACTTTGCAGAAAATCCAGAACAATGGCTTGTCAAAAAACACCACCAGCTCACCAAAAAGCCACCAAAGAGCAGTGGGGTAGGTGGCTGTGTAGAAGCTTGCTTGAGAAGGAGAAAACTTGAAGTGTGAGAAAAAGTCCATTTTGCCCTTTAAAAGGGTCCAAAACGATAGCAGGGGCAGTAAAAGAATGCAAGAAAGGAAAAAAAAAGGAAGAGAGAAAAAGGAGAGAGAAAAAAAAGAAACTCTGTTGAGAGTTTTTCCAATATTCTAAAAGCTAAGTTTTGAACCAAATTACACAATATATATAGTTGGAGTTGAGTTCTAACAACCATGACAAAATTCAGTTGCCATCACAGATTCTGTAGCTAACTAATAACTAATCAGTGAGATTAGTTCTATCTTAAAACAGAATGCCAAAATAGTGAAAAACAAATACAAAACTAATACAACTGAAATGCTAAACTACTAAAATAGAGTTGTATAGTCTAATATCCCCTGCAAGCTCAGGAGGGGTTAGCAAAAAGCTTGTTAACAACTCTAAGCTTGGATCTGTAGAGAGTGAAAGTGGAGGGTGAAAGAGCTTTGTTAAGAATGTCAGCCCTTTGATCAACAGCAGACACATGGACCACCTGAACTTGCTTGGAAATTACCTTCTCCCAAACAAAATACAGATCAAGTTCAACATGCTTCGTCGTAGAATGCAAAACAGGATTTTGAGCAAGACTAACAGTATTTTGATTGTCACAATGACAGGAGTGTGAGACTTGAAGTTCTGAGAATAGTGACAGAATCCAAGAGACTTCAGCTGTAACGAGAGCCAAACTACAATATTCTGCCTCTGTACTGGAGCGAACAATAACAGCTTGCTTCTTAGACCACTAGGAAACTAATTCTGAGTAGTGACTGAATCCAAGAGACTTCAGTTGTAGCGAGAGCTAGACTACGATATTCTGCCTCTGTACTGGAGCAACCAATAATAGATTGCTTCTTAGACCACTAGGAAACTAAGTTTGGGCCAAAAATTATAGCAGCATCAGAGGTGGAACATCTGTCATCCGATCAGACACCCCGTCAGCATCATAGTAAGTATGAACAGAAAGTGGAAAGTCAAAAAATTCGGCTGTATGAACAAACCAAACTAAAGAGTGTCTTTAAGATAACGCAAGATATGTGGTTCCTTAGGAGCACCTATGAAAAGGTTCCATTGTAGTCATAATTCAACCATTGATGAAATCCTTTTGCAACAAGCCAAGCCCTATGTTTATTGACTGTCCCATTAGGGTTTTCTTTGACCAGAAAGACCCATTTGCAACCAATGGGAGTTTTGGAAGGAGGCAAATCAACAAGTTCCCAAGTGCCATTCTTGATGAGAGCATCATACTAGCTTGCATTGCTGCACGCCAGGTAAAGCAAGCCAGAGCAGTCTTAACAGATTTGGGTTCAGCATGAGTAAGGAAAATAGTGGGTTGAATCCTAGATTGGATAATGTCAGACTTGGCCCTGGTAGTCATAGGGTGAATTTTATCTTCCCTAACCAATGAGACAGACGGAGTGGGTAGAATGGGATTGGGTGGAGGAGGGGAATCAGAATTTGGACGAGAAGAGCCAATAGTGGTTGACCCAGAATTAGTGGGTGTAAGGGAGGGTGATTTTAAAACAGTAAAAGGGTTGGTAGTAGGGGTGGACCTGGTAGCAAATGATGAGGTTTTAGTTGGGAAAAGACTGGTATAGGGAAAATTGTACTCATTGAAGATAACATCTTTTGAAACATATATACGTCCATCTGCATAAAGACACTTATACCCTTCGTGAGACACAAAGTATTCCAAGAAAATACACTCTTAAGAGCATGGTTGAAATTTGTTAGAGTTGTAGGGTCGCAACATGGGAAAACAAGAACAACCAAACACTTTTAAAAACTTATAATCTGGCAGCTTGTGAAATAACTTTTGAAAAGGAACCTCGCCTTGAATTGCAATGGATGGCAGCCGATTGATCAAGTCACTTGAGACCACTGCATAGTCGCCAAAGGTCATTGGTAAAGAGGCTTGAGACAACATTGCCAGGGACATTTCAATATTTGTGTTCTACTACTCCATATGATGAGTGTGAGGATAAATAAGGTGATGAATGATTCCTAAATCCGCAAGTTGTTTAGTAAAAGGATGAAATTCACCACCCCAATCAAACTGGACGGCTTTGATGGGTAGATTAAACTGTGTATGAACCAAACTCTAAAAGTGTTTGAAAACACCAAGTGTTTTTAACTTGAATTTCAATAGATACAACCAAGTAAAACAAGTATGGGCATAAACAAAAGTAACATAATATATGTATCCACATTCTAAAATACATGGAGTTGGACCCCAATGATCAGTATAAACCAATTTAAAGGATGTAGAATAGACAAAATTAGAGGGAAAGAAGGATGGTATTTTATGGTATTTACCAAGACAATAGTATGAACAAAAATCAAGTTTAGATTTATTAATGGAAGAAACATTATTACACATCTTGAGAACAATTTTAAGCACTTCAAAATTGGGATGACCTAGTCTGGAATGCCAAATAGAGTAGGAATCACTACTAGTAGATGCAACATTTACAACTGAGGAATGTTAAATAGAACTAGAAACAATAGGATTAATAGTGCTATATGTCACTTGTCTGATCAAGAATTGATGGACCGAAAGGTGGAAGGGCTGTGTTGAATTCGCAACAGCAAGTGGAGTTAGGAGTGCTGCAAGAATCACCAAAAGTTTTTAATGAACTTTTTGGGGTACCCCCTGGTCAAGGAATAGCTCATTCCAATAAATTGAAGGAAGCACAGAATCAATAAATGTTAGGCCATATCACTATTCACATCATAAAAATAAAATAAAATTGAGCATCAAGTTCACAAAATGTTGAAGCAAGGTATAATTCCTCATAATTTTAACCCTTTTTCTAGTCCAGTAATTCTTATTAAAAAAAAGGATGCTACATGAAGGATGTGTGTGGACTATAAGGCTCTTAATAAGGTAACAGTGTAGGACAAATTTTTTATTCTAGTTGTTGATGAGTTGATTGATGAATTACATGGGGCAAACTTCTTATCAAAACTACATTTGAAATTTGGGTATCATCAGACAAAGATGAGAGAGGAATATGTGTCCAAGACAACATTTAGAACCCATGAAGGTCACTGAATACCTCGTAATGTCCTTTGGGTTAATGAATGCCCCAGCTACCTTTCAAGCAACAATGAACTAGATGTTCAAGCCATTTTTACGTAGATTCGTGCTTGTATTTTTTATGATATATTTAGTGTATAGCAAGGATTGGAAGATTCACTTACAGCATAAACCAAATACAACAAAACATAACATAAATAAGTCAGACTTCCTAAGAACAGTTCCCCTAAGGCGTAAGTAAATAAACATCAATCATAAGGCAAGTAATCCTCAATGGGATTAGACTCATCAGGTGATGTCGGGGAATCAGAGTTAGAGGAAGTAGCAGCAACAGAATCTCCACTGTTCTCCTCTATCCATCTAGCAGTGCGAGGAGGTGAACGGGTATCAATAGGTTGGACTAAGGTAGATGGGTATGCAGGATGCATATAAGATGGCATGGTAGTGTACCTAATGGAGGATTCCACCACATGGATATCCCTCTCCATTGGCACGGGTGGAGAAGTAGGGGTCATAAAAGGAAATGGCACAGGCACGGGGGCTGGTCTAGCAGTAGGAGTACGAGGGTCAATCGACATAGGAGTTAGGGAAATAAACAGAGCAGGGTAAGGTAATTGAGTGTCACTAGGAGGGACAGAAAAGACAATCTCACTGGGTGTGTCGGCAGTATACTAGGTGATCCACGAACCTCCACTATCCAATTCATGAATCACTCGTGCGAATCCGCGGAAGATACTCTGCTGAGCCGCGGAGTCGAACACCCACATATCCTCCTTCAGAAGGAAGGATCCACACCTTCACCTTGTTCCTGTCCATCTATATAAATAAAAGAAGAACAATACAAGACAACATAAACAGAGGGGTGAGTTCTCCAAATACAAACATCAATCATAGCCATACCCCAAGGAAGGCGGCGTCACAGTCACAATTCAATCTACAATCAACATTCAGCATCATCGAATGTTCAATAATATAATAGGGTGATAATTATAATCATAACCATAACCAATCTCGCAAGTATTCAATCATCCCTAATAGTAATGCACATGATGCATGAATGCAGGTTTCGATCTCACCCATATAGTCACTCATGTGTTCATAGCATGCAAATGATGCATGGGGATCCCATTCCTCTATGACTAGCGACTTGCCCAGCTTTTAGCATAGAGATAGATATAGATAGATTCAAGTTGTATGGTGATCAGAGGACTCCATTTCCTACTCTGCACAATGATAATCATAGATAGAAGTAGAATAATAGCACATCATTAATGTGTAGTGCCATCCGGCACGTTCAAGAATGGACCTCAACAACCCTAGTATTATGGAGTGCA